AAATCTACATTGGGAAACCCCAGTCTATCTACCCCTGGACTGGCGCACTCCCAAAACAGTCCCTTCAGGCGGACTGAGTTTTTAAACTGAACATGGAGAGGCAAAGGGAGGCGTGGTCAAGAAAAACATTACTCAGTCCAAGGGCAGATAGGCTGTGTTAACCCACGCTTGGACTCTCCAAGCAGCGCACTGGAGAATAACTGGTTTTATGCATGTGTAGAAAAAAAATGGCAGAATCACCTTTGTTCCCCTATAGCAGTGATGACAAATGTTTTCCTGCTCGGGTGCCAAAAGGGTGTGTGTATGCATGATAGCTCATACGTGCGTGCCTACATCCATGATGCAATGTCCTCTCTCCAGCGCATGCATGGACAACCCCTTGTGCTTCCTCCCCAGTGTGCGCATGCCCCACTGAAGCCTCCAGACTTCCGGTAGGCCCGTTTGGCTGTTTTTCACCATCCACAGGCTTCAGGACTCTTTCCTGAAGCCTGCGGAGGGCAAAAATGGCCTCCCCTGCCCTCTGGAAGGCCGAAAATCAGTTGGCCAGCATGCGCATGTGCGCTGGAGCAGACATAGGGGAACAGCGCATGTGCCCTCAGATATGGCTCCGTGTGCCTCTTGTGGCATGCGTGCCATAGGTTTGCCAACACGGCCCTATAGTGCTTTGAAATGTGGAAGCATTTAACTTATCTGTGCCATAATATTGTGTTAGTCTATAAAATTCCAAGAGCGTTTGCATTCATATAACACATTATGATTCAATGTGGTTGGCTAGTTTGTGTCTCAGTGTCTTAGATAAACTTAGCTTATGAAGTTCAGGCATTGTGCAAACCGAGCCATTACATATATCATTAAACATACAGCATGGGAATCTCCTACAGTAACTTTCTTAAAAGTCAAGCTTTCACCAAAGCAAAAAGTAATTATGAGTCTGAAATACCAACAGGCACAAAGTATTTAGGTAAGATAAGAAAAATCTTGCTGAAACATTCCAGAAAGAACTTGGCAATTCAATTTAGTATCCATAGTGATGCAATACTTTTACTACATGGTTCTCCACAACTTCATGAAGTCCCCCAAGAGCATTAACATAAACTATGAAGACCAAAGGTGGGATTCAGCCGGTTTGGACCAGTTCAGGTGAACTGGTTGTTAAAATTCTGCCCAGTTTGGCAAACTGGCTAATCCCACCACTAGCTGCCCTGCCCCTGTCCGTTTTTGGGGCCATTTTGGATGTTCAGTAGTAATAAATAGAGAGGGAAATTGAGTTAAAGGCCTCAACAAGATACATTTTATCTCTCTATTTATTTACTACTACTGAACAGCCAAAACGGCCCAAAAAACGGTACACAAAGCGTCCTGAATACTGGCCCAAAAATGGCTGAAAAACAGGTAAAAAACCTAAGACTTCAAATCTTCAATTATCTCTCTTGAAGTTGTACAACAATCTGGATTTGAAAGGAAGAAGAGGATTTCATTGCTTGTGTGGGCACACATTTCAGACCTCTCAATACCTCACATCCATTGTGCTATTTCCTACCCCGCTGCACAAATCTTTTCAACATTTGCTGGCAAGCACAAAATGAGCCTTCACCTCAAACCACATTCCCCCTTCTGAATTTGGATTATTACACAACCATATGAAATAATATAAAACCACACTACTAAGCATAGTAACACCTGGACTACAGTAAAACTTTGTGAAAAAAATTGATATAACTTCCCATACCCCATATATAGATTATGTTGAACAAATGTAATGTCTTTGAGTTGATTTAAAGCCAAGATATGAAAATAAGGAAAACAAGAAAACTTCATCAAAAACTTGAATTGCCATAATGTTGTCTTCCTAAAGTCCTCTGCTTCCTTTTTTGCTCCAATTACAATTTCTGTACTAATAAACTTTACGTCCAGTTTTAGAACCAATTCTGAGAAAATAAACTTAAAAGAGAGTCAAAAATCCTTCCACCCACTTGGACCTTTTCCTCATATCAGTACATGAGTAATGGGGTGGGATAGGGAAGGAATCTTAAGTATCAGTGTAAAAGTCCTTCCCACCCCACTGATAACAGTTGTAGGATAAATCAGATCAATGTCTCCTGCACAGCTTTTCCTCATTATCAGACTATTCCAGAATATAAATAAAGACAGAGGAGGATGGTTTTATGATTGGGAGAACTTTGTGTCTATCTTTAGGGCCAGAATGATCACAGCTCAATGACAGAACAGAGATATTGCATATTCAGGCAAAGCAGAGCTGAGGAAAACCTCTGTTGAGATCATTGCAAACTTCTCGTAAATTATGGTGCATGAAGATGGGAAGATTAGTGATTCTTAGATCCTTTGTATATTTTTATGCATAAAACATGTTTCAAAGCAAGTGGAGTACATGCCTCTCTCCACTGCCTGTTTATGTTCTCTTAATTTCTGTTCTGAAAATGAATGTTCATTGTCCATAAATCAGCCAAAAGGTGGCGCTGTTGATTTGATTCAAGCAAGCTCCCTAATCTACCGCCAGGAAAAAAAGTGCTTAATTGGTGCCTCAGAAATCCTCCTGCTGACTTTCTATCATGTTATTTTGTCTCTATGATCTCAAAGTTGATTGCTCAAAGCAAACTGGACTTTCATTCCACACAAATTTTTGATCTGTAAACATGCAACTTACTGATTATAAAAAGAAATAAGACTTCCTTGTTGACTTTTCGTGCCAACTAGTTTTTTTCAAAGGTTGAATATGTGTTACTAATACTACACACCCTAATGAATTTCCTGTTAACATTTACACTTCATAGTGTGAGTATAGTTATGTCAGATTGCAGGTATTAGGTATGTGGCCGACAATTCAGTCCTATAGACCAGTGGTCTCCAACCTTGGCAACTTTAAGACTTGTGGACTTCAAGTTGGCCAATTCCAATGTTTCTTAGTTTAACTTAAACTCAGTCAACATCACATTTCTAAAATCAGTAGTAAAAAGTTCTAAACTGAAAAAGATACCCCATCAGTTCTGGCTGAATTTTAAATCCTATTTGGATTCACAGGACATTCTGACCTATAAGAATGGCAGAGGCTGAACTTACATAGCTAAAATGCAATTGGCAAGAGTTTCATTCAAACTAAGCCTCAGAATTAGAAAAGAATCTCATAGGCCAGTGATTCTCAAAGTGTAGGCTGGGGGTCTCTTTCAAGGGGTCAGCAAAGATTAATAAATACATGTTCTAAAATGTCTCCGTTTTAAATTATTAAATAAAATATCAACTATAATTAAATATCAATATAAGATATATCCCACAGAAGCCAAAGCAGTCTGGAGTCCTCAAATGTTTTTAAGAATGTAAAGGTAACCGGAGACCAAAATAGTTGAGAACTGTTAATGTAGGCCACTGAATCCACTTTTTATCCGATACAATAAATTCAGACCTACAATACTTTTATATACTGAACCTACTAAAGCAGATAATTGCCTCCAATTATAAATCAATAAAATTGTTCCTAAGAAATTCCTCATAATGTTCACCTTGTTTTTATTCCTCTGAAGCTAAAGTCCATCAGATCTATATCTTTTGTCCTCTGTGACAACAAATATTAAACCGGACGAAAGTCAGACCCCAAGCCATGGCAGCAAAGAGTGAAATCCTTGTTATTATTTGAGTAACGTCTGGGTTTGGGGCGTTCAAAAATGGGCATTTTAAGAATGCGATGGAAAGACAACTTTGTAAAGCAAAAAACCTTGGTCGGGTAGCTGGGAATGCGGGCGGTGGTACTTTTTACGCATCTCGAGGGCATCAGCGTGGGAAGAAGTTGAGTGAAATTTAGAAAAGTATCCGGACGACCGCTAGACGGCAGCAAAGATACGAAAACGCAATCCTTCGCCCGGGTTCTTGCCTCATCTGAAACCGAAGTTTTTCCAGAACTATGAGACGTTCCTCCCGTCCCACCCCCGCTCCCCTATTGCGCACCACGCACACACCGCCTCCCACTTCTCGCCCATTGAGGGAGTAGTGCAGAGGTCTCCAAACTTGGCCACTTTAAGACTCGTGGACTTCAACTCCCCAGAATTCTCCAGCCAGCTATGCTAAGTCACTCTGTCTCAGCTCTAGGAAATATGAAGCAATGGTAAAACACTTCTGAAAACTTGCCAAGAAAACTTTAAGGAGTTGCCAGGTGTCAATACTTTTAAAGTACAAAAACACAAAACAGAACTTGCCATTTTCCAATGGCAGGAAACCACCTGCAATCCTGGCATGTTACCTATGGCAGTAGCCGCTGAGACTTGTTGCGGAACCGTTCCCTCCCTTCGGAAGAGGAAGATTTCTATGGTAAAAGACCCATGCCCCGGAAGTAAAGTGGCCATACTGTAGTTTGACCCTGGGAACTCTGCCGGTTACGGGAAGAGGCGGGGTTGAGAGCTCTGAAGCGCGGCGGATTTGCTCCAGAGCTTCGTTTTTTTAATTTCCTCCGCCGATTTGACGGATTCCCCGCCCTCTCACGGGTGAGTCCCAGCGCCTCCAAAACTCTCCCACTCGCCCAGGTTTCCCCATGTGTGAGAGACCCAGTTCGGAGTAGTGGGGGGGGGGGATTGGTGAAGGAGGAAATATTTCTTCCCTGATGGCCTTTCAGCTTCTTTATTGAGTGTCCTTTTTCTTGAGTGACCTCCACCCTCCTATGGAAGGAGATATCTCTCACAGGCTGCTTTGTCATATTACTCGTCTTTGGGTCTCGCTTGAGGAGTTCATAACCGACTTTGGGGGAAACGTCCGTGTATTTTTTTACAAAGAGGCGTCTATTTCCTTACCGTTATGGGAGGTTTAAGTCGAGCCTAAATACTCTTCTAATTGAAGATGGCCCTTTCTCTATGATTGCTAAATTACTACGCATAACATGGTGTAAAAAAAACACCACCTTTGGGGAGCAAGTCAGTTAAACAAAATAGGATTCTGCCCAGATTCCAAAATGTCGAGCAATAAAATACAACACCACAAGTTTGAGAAGTTGTGATATCTGAGGAAGGAATTGGGACACATATAAAGACTTGAAACTTGGGTGAAGTGGTATACTATTAAATAGGTAAAAGCTAAACTGGTGAACGAAGGATCCCTGTGTGTTTGAAATGAAAGCATTGCAGATTGTACTGTTGATCAAGTATAAAATTAATGTCCCTATTATGTACATGAAGGTAATATTTTGTAATGACCACATATTTTCTTTATTAGTTACTACTGTGCTAGTAATACTAGTGCTATGGATTACTGGATTTCTTTATGACTAGATTTATTTTACTCATTCTTTTAGAATTAATAAAATAACAAGTATAAATTCTAAAAAAAGGATTACTTCATTTTCTCTGTTTTATGTATCTTTAGTTGACTGTTCTTCAACTCGTCCTCCATGGCAACGTGGAGCCGTGAAGCTGTGCTAAATCTTTATCGTGCACTGTTGCGTCAGGGACGTGGCTTGCGCTACACTGATCGTGATTTCTATCTGAGCTCGATCCGGAAAGAATTCCGCAAGAACCAGCACCTTACATCCCCAGAAGATAAAGAGCGACATCTTAAAAAGGGCCAGGCTTTTTTGCACAGCAAACTTGGAGGGCTTATTTAGAAATTTCCTTTTTTTTTCTTGTTATATGTTTCTTTGCTCTTATTTTTCTTTATTTATTTAATAATTTGAACTGGATGGTCAATATCAGAAGTCTGCTGCAAACCTGTAAAAAACAAATCTCCCAAAGTATCCTACATATACCTCCGGGAGCATTTCTCCTTCCTTTTTGCAGATGCATTAAGCTTCAGGTAAAATATATGGAGAGGATGTATTTTGCTGTTTTAATTATTCATTATTTGTACAGATAAAAAGCTAACCTGAATAATTAGAATATTGAGTACTAATCTGAGTAATTGAAAGTTAATTTTTATTTATAATAATAAAACAGTTCTAGCATGCTTGAAATTGGCATTATGAAGAATGTAGTATGTATGCTAATAATTATTACAAAATTAATGTTTACAGAGGATGGAGAAAATTATATCCAAATTTGATTGCTGTACTGACAACTCTTACTTTGACTCCCCTTAAATTCTGGAAATCCGTTTGTTTAAGGGGCATCCATTGAAATCTCGGTTCATAATTTTACAATTCTAGTCTACCTGCATATATTTTTTTCGTGTTTCATCTCTTTAACTTCTAAAAACATTGTTTTTTCTTCAGATCTTCACAAACTTTTTTGTGCAAGTATAACTTCTCCATCTACATTTCCCCCCTCCTTGACATACTTGCAATTAAAAAACTCCTTTAAAACTCCTTTTTCAGAAACTCCCTTTCACCATGAAATACTTTAAAAAAAAATAGTCTCTGCTATTGGGGGATTCTATTCATAATAGCTCTAAGTTTATTAATGTGAAAGACAATCTTATTTACATGTCAGATATTAACTAATGTGAGTTTTAGTGATTGGTCTTGAACAAATCTCACTTCAAGTCAATCTTACCCAGCCTGGTATTTTCCAAAAGTGGTTGTTTTGACTGAACATTATGGGAAGGTCCCAAGTTAAAAATCTGGTTGTTGATATTGAACAATATTTGAATATATTAATGACTGTAATGATCATATGCTTCCTTCTTAGATTCCTCCTTTGGAAGAATGACTAAATTGAGGAAATTGCTTTAATGTCTAGAATAATTTCATATTGAAAAAGTAAACCTGATATAGAATTCAGTTCTAATTGGAGACCATTCTTGGACTATAGCCTTGCACATGGATTTGTACCACACCCCCAATTTAGCCTTTTTTACATTTTTCTAGATAGAGTTTGCATTTTAATTTTATGGAAAGTGAAATTTTTAGTATTAAAGTTTGTGGTTTTAGTTACTGATTTATATTGTGTTAACTAGCATTGAGATTATGGTTTTTACAATTGAAATTACAAAACATGTTTAAGGTGATATATTTAAAATAAACTTAACTTCAAATATTTAATCTTAATAAAAGTCCATGGAATTAAAACCCAATAAGCATTGAATGGCAAACTGAACATTTTGAACAGCATGCTGTTTGGTTTTTTTTTTCCTATGTAGGAGCAATGGCGGGCGCTGGAGAGCGCAAGGGAAAGAAGGATGACAATGGGATTGGCACGGCTATTGATTTTGTGTTGTCCAATGCTCGACTTGTACTGGGAGTGGGAGGTGCTGCTATGCTGGGGATTGCTACCTTGGCTGTCAAACGGGTAAGAAATTTGTTTATTTGTGTCAGAAGCATCACAGTTAAAATAAGGCATATTATATGACATAACATTTAAAATACAAAATACAAGATTAAAAGAAATAATGTAGTTGGTTAAAAAAAACCAAGATTTATTGAGGTTGGAAAAAATGCAGTAAGGAATAGAGAAATTAAGTCTCACTCAGTCATATAATCAATATTCTATTTTCACTCTCTGCAGATGTATGACAGAGCAATCAGCGCTCCAGCCAGCCCCACCCATTTAAGCCAGTCAGGAAAGAGAAGCTGGGAGGAACCAAGTTGGCTTGGGTCATCATCACGATTACTGAACCAAGACATGAAGACAAATCTTAGCCGTTCTCTGCAGACTCTACCCACAGATGCTTCAGATTTTGAAATAGGTAAGAAATAGTCTAAAGAAAGAATATACATATTGAACTGACTTTATGCTATATTTAATGTCTTAGCATGGCTTTGTAGTTTGTCTTATTTGATTTTTTTTAAATAACAAAAGATGTCTGCTTCTGGATTGTCCCTTGGATTTTCTTTCTCCCTTAAACCTTATGTTGAGGGTATTTTGTTCCTATTGTTTTCTACTGTTAAAAAATACACGTTCAGAACAGAATAATTTCAATGCAGGCAATTTATACAAGCAAACTTGCAGTGAAATGTTTGGCTCTTTTTGAGTTTTTCTCTGTTGTATTACCTGAACAGATTCCATCAAACCTATGAAACATAAATCACCTGCTAAGAGAAGCCAGGTGGAATTGAAGAAATCCCGCCTACGGATGTCCTTGCAAGAAAAACTGTTTACTTATTATCGGAGAAAGGTGGCTATCTCTGTAGAAGAACAGATCAAAGCCAAGCAAGCTGCTGTGGATATCTGTGCTGAATTACGCAGCTTCCTCCGTACCAAGTTGCCAGACATGCCTCTGCGTGAGATGTATCTGAGTGGTAGCCTCTGTGATGACTTACAGGTGAATGGAGGAAAAGCTTTAAATGTTCTTCAGCAAGAATAATGTTGATAGAGATAATTTATCACACTATTATATTTTTAGGGTTATCTTTTGATTTTTGTGTGTGTGTCTAATCTTATCTTGTGTAAGAAGAAGACCCCCTTTTTGAGCCAGTATCCACATTTTTTTATTCTGTGTCTTTTCTACATCTGCTCAGCAAAATATATTTTCAAATTGTTTAACTATAGTATAGCATATTATTTTTAAACTAGCATATGGTGTCCATATGTGCTACTTTTCTATTGTCATTAAAAATAATACCTATTTATTTTGAAAGTTTGCTGTAGCTTCCTCTATGGCTTTAGTACAGTGAAAGAAGATACTATATTGTACATCACTGATACTGTAACTGAAGGGTTCTTAGTATTCCCAGCCTTCCTTCTGGCCTAGTTTTTCCCAACTTGATGGTCACATTAGTTGGATTATATCCTTTAATTATGAGAATTCAAATGCAAACATTTGGAGGGAGGCAAGTAAGTTATGTGATAGTTGATAGGACCAGTCCTCAGATGTTTAAAGCTGTGTTTTATTTCTCTCTGCTGCTAGGTTGTGACAGCAGATCACATCCAACTTATTGTTCCTCTTGTGCTAGAACAGAATTTATGGTCATGCATTCCAGGTGAAGAAACCATTATGAACATCCCTGGCTTCTGCTTAGTACGTCGGGAAAACCCAGAATATTTTCCTCGTGGTAGCAGTTATTGGGACCGCTGTGTCGTGGGAGGTTATCTCTCACCCAAATCTGTATGTGGTACCTTTGAGAAAGTAGTGGCTGGCTCCATCAATTGGCCAGCAATTGGATCTCTCCTAGATTATGTGATTCATCCAGTCGCACCCTTAGAATCTCTAACTTTGGAGGTCCAGTATGAACGGGATAGGCGCCTTCTAATAGACTTTTTACCATCTGTGACACTAGGTGATTCTGTATTGGTAGCCAAGCCACATCGACTGGCCCAATATGATAATCTATGGCGACTCAGCCTTCGGCCAGCAGAGACAGCTCGCCTGCGGGCCTTGGACCAAGATGACTCTGGTTGCCGTTCTTTGTGCCTTAAGATCCTCAAGGCCATATGTAAACTGAACCCAGTTCTGTGTCGTCTTTCTGCCAGCCAGCTTACCAATGTAATATTACACCTGACCCAAGAAGAAACTGATTGGTCACAAGATGCAATAGCTGACCGTTTTCTTCAGGCATTGAGAAAACTAATTGGCTATTTGGAAGAAGGAATTCTTCCGTGTGCTTTAAATCCCAAGGTGAACTTGTTTTCAGAACTTACTACTGAAGAAGTAGACGAATTAGGTTATACTCTGTACTGTTCACTTTCAGAACCAGAACTTCTGCTACAAATGTAATCGCTGCCTTAAGTGTGAGTTAGTGTTAGAACTACTTGCCAAGACAATTTGTCTTCTGAGTGACCTATGCACATCTTGCCCTGGTTATTTTGCAAGTCTGCCTCTGCATTTTTATTGTTATTAAATAGGAGTGGGGGGCTTTAGATTTCTTGGTGCTACTGGTCTAGTTCCACTACACTCAAGGAACTGGAGGAAGAAGCAACTTTGAAGATCTGCTCAATTTGCTATAATGTTCTTGTAGATGTACCCACTGCTGGAGTCCCAACATATGCTCTCTTTCCTGTAATACGTTATACTTTGCTACAGTGAAAATTCTTACCTCCTATTTCAAAAGTGTAGAATTGCCACTAACAATTTTAAGAACCTCCCAAATATAATAAGATTTGTTCCTATTGATTGGTGACTATTTCCCCCCTTTTTATTCTGAAAGTGCTTGACAGAAAAGCTTCAAGAAAAACATTTGTAGCAAGATATATATTTGTGAATTTGTACATTGACTGTATCTATATTGTCTAAAGGAGGGTTTTTTTTAAAAAAAATTGCATGCTGCTTAAATTCATGTGACACTCAGAGTGATGATAACCCCGTATTTTGAAAACTGAGTGCATATTGTCTAGGACTTGCTGCTTTGCCAGATTGGAGTCCTTCACTGCACAAGCACATTCAAGGTCTTCAATACACCCTTGTTTGGAAAACTGGGAGCAGATTTCTAACTGATGCAGCGGAATGTAAGAAGAGAAATGTCACATTCATTGCTTTGTCCATGTGTTAATTATTTGAGAAATTAGAAAATATCACTAAGGCACAGAGCAGGATACTTGAAATAAAGATTCTTGAATAAGTGCTATGTCACTTCAAAAATGGTGTGCCTTAAAATCATAAAGAGTAGTTAAGAGGTGACTGTATGGAAAACTGAAGAGGGCAAATATGCTTTGGTTGGCATAACTTTATGTGCTGCACTTGTTATTGATGGTCACAGATGTCCAGTCTGAATTTGAAGCACCTTTGCCCTCTTCAATTCTGAATACTGCATATCATTAGTATTTGAGCTTCAAATTATTGGCTAGCTGGCAAATGTATGGACACTGGCATATACTTCCTGAAATGACACTACTGGAGGAATGCAAAATAGTTTTAAGTGAAAATATATATTATGCTGTTTATACTTAAAGAATGTGGCATACTATATATTTAACCAGTTTGATCCAATTGTATTCAAGAAACTATCAGCACATTTTCTCCTATGTGGTCTTCCGTATGTAATTTATATAACCCTCTTCTTAATCTCTATTCATTCTTTGAAATGATACAACATTTAGGGAGAAGCTGCAGTAGCTGTATCTCTTGCTTTACAGATACAAGCATGGCATAGTGAATGTGTAATCTCTTGGGAAAATGTGGTTTGTTAATGCTGCTATCATCTGGTACGTCTTCCATCTTCCCCCAAGGGAAAAAAAACCAAGAGGAGGTACTCTGAAGAGATGAAACTGTCAAACCTGCATAACAAGTATTACTACAATACATATGTAATTCTGAGGGTTACCTTCTTTCAAATATCCACCCTCAACATTAAATGACAGTGAATTATCTCATTAATTTGCAGGTCTTGAGAATTGAACATAATCTTCCATATTCTTTCTGTTGAAAGTGGTGCTTACTAAGGTTATATATGCTTCAGAAAATTTTTGAAAGAAGGACTTTGGTCCTTGTTTACAGAGAATGACCTGATACTCAAAGTAGTCAGTTCTTTTTCAGGGTGCTACTTAAAAGAGTTGTGTTAACTTTAATGAATGGAATCCATATTTTGGAAGTCTGCAAAAATGAATTTAATGAATAGCACAGAGTTGCTAGGTTTGTGCAAGGCCCAGAATGCTTCTTTTAAACTGTCAAACTATAACCCTAGTGCTTATGTTATTGAGATACTCTTCAGTTTAGTTGTAATGTGTAGGGTCCAATTCTGTAACATCTTTCATTATATTTTGAGATCAGATTGTCTTTTTCAGAGGGCATATATTGTGGCAATGGAATCAGTATTAGCCTAATTTAAATTTCAGTGTTACAGCCAAAGACAGAAAGTTATCTGTTGAGTACTTGGCAATTTATAACCTGGGAGTGTTTTTTTAAAAAAAATTATACTGAATAATAGTTTCCAGAATACATTCCTCTCCATTCTCAACTTTCCTGCTACATGAGTTGATGAACACCTACACAGACATTATGTGGTTAGAGACTTTACTATGATGTCCATTGTTTGCCATCTTTACTCCCTTTTTCCTTTTGTTTCTTACCCTGCTGTTTGTTTAGAGCAGGAAAGCAAATCATATCTGAAGATATGGAAGATATGGATTGGAAGAATCCAGTATCTCTTGTATTCCCAATTATCTATTACTTTTAAAAATTGCAAAACATTTTATTAATTTTTTGATTGTTATAAGGTTGAGTATATACTATATGTAGCTTTAAGCAATTATCCTTGTGACAGTAAGATGCCATTTTGATTTTTTTTCTTTACTTTCACGTCTTTTAACTGTTATTTCCTACAAAGCAATGATAAATTGGGATTCTTTTTCTTTGAAATATGTAAAGTATTTAAGCCTATTTCATGATAAGGCTGATAATACAACAAATTGCTACTGCCATCAGTACAAAATCCAAGCTTACTCTTCTGTTGACTGTAATATATCTTGCATCCTAAGTGAATCATTGTGTGAGGCAGCTGTAAGAATTTCCCTGGAAAATTCAATTTGAAAACTTAGTGTTCTTAAACTTACAAGTATTCACTTAAATTGTATGTGACAACTTCCTACTGGCAGATTTAGTTTTCAGCTCAAAGTCTGCACAACAATCAGAACATAGATTCAGAACATACTACATTCAGTAGTATGAAGTAGAACACATGGCCATTCTAAATCATTGGGAAGTGGGAAGCCAATGGCAGCAGCTGATGGACTCAAGCCAAAAGCCCTAGTCTGCTCATCCTGGAATATAGGTGTCAAACCAATCAATAGGAACTGCAATTATGACCAGCTAGCTGAATAATAAATTTGTCTTCACTTGGCATTGTTGACCTCCCAGGTTTGATGAAATACTTGTGACATTTGTGCAGGCTGAAATGTATAAGGGTTGGGGAGAGAATTCGAATGGTCTGTAACTGTATAAAAGTTGTGAAATAAAATCCTCCACAACCACGTGGCTCTTTTTAAATATATGCTGGGGCCTTTTCTACATTATTTTTATGAAAATACAATCAGATAATCATGTAATTAATTACTTTCTTCATTTGCAACACTCAATGATACTCAGAAGAATGTTCTCAGAGTAAACCTTAACCTTTATAATGCTATGTCTAGAACTGCATGTCTGTACTTGGACTTGACTTACTGGCCGTTTGTCTAATGACCATTCTAAATTATAAAAAGTAGTGGCATAACTATTTTTCACATGACTGTTGCAGCACCATGGTCACATGATCAAAATTCAGACACTTGCCAACCGATTGATATTTATGACAGCTGCAGTGTCCCAGGTTATGTGATCACCTATTGTGACCTGACAAAGTCAATGTGGAAGCCAGATTTACTTAAGAATTGTGTAACTGTGATCCACTTAACATCTGTGGCAAGGAAGTTTGTAAAATGAGGCAAAATTCACTTAGCAAATGTCTCAGAAACAGAAATATTGGGATCAAATTGTGGTCATTAGTCAAGGACTACCTGTAATTAAAATATTTTGCATTTTAAAAAGTTCTAATAAAAACTGCACAAAAGTATGATACCTGATATGTCGAATTGCAACCCCAAATTTTATTTTAGCTATCCCAAATCATATGTCTACGAAAGGAAATCATCTTTGATATGGTAGAATTTATGCAAGTAGCACTGTTATGACATAAAAAGATCATCTTACCCAAAATAGAAATAAGGAACGAAGTTAAGTACCTCCATGCAGCAATTTGCGTGTAGCGTGCTTTCTGTACTATAGTAGAATTAAATAAGTAAAGGTATAGGTAGGTGTACATATTGTAAATCAAAGAATTGTTCTGGATATTGCTTGAGTTTTCCCAGATATACTATGAGAGATAGGTTATAGAAAACACGATGGTTCTGTTTTGCTACCCATTATTAGAATGAAAGGTATGGTGGAGAAAAGGACTTGATAACAAAACTGCAGTGTGCTGTTAACATTCAGTTACTGTGCTTTCTGTCCTCCAATTCTGATTTTTATTCCCAAGGCTCTTCTTCATATCAGTTCAAGTAGTTCATCCGGTATTGCTCTTTTTTCTATGGAAATATTTTAACAAACTTGCTCTGTATTCATTTCTGACACTCAGTGTTAGCTACGTATGCCTGTTATTAGCTGCTGCATAAAAGGAGCTCTTTGCACCATGTGTTAAGTCAAACTAAGAACAACCAGTAGCTGGGTCTGAATTTCTACTTCCCCATAACAGTAAGAATGCAATTACTTCACAAACTAATAGGAAGTATGCATTATTCTAGAGGTGGACCATACTGTTTGTAGAAATAAAGTCAACAATATTTTATTCAAACATGAGATCTGAAAATTTCCTCTTTTGGAGAGGAAAATTACCTGAGTAACAAAAATGCCAGTGAAGTTGTCTAGTTTCAAAAACTATTTGAAGGGAGTAAAGGGAGGGCTTGATGTAACAGTGGACCTGACATACAGATTTGCAACTTTCTAACTACTGTTGGATTCTGATCCTATTGCCCTAATATGTAATCTCTGGCCTGGAACAAATTGCTTAATCAAGCATTAGTGATTTCACATTATGAGGCTAATGCATAATTTTGGTAACACAGATTCCCATATGTCTATGTATGTCAGGTGCAAAGAATTAGGATCATCTATTATATTGTAGCATAATTCTTCAAGCCTATACACAAGAATCAGGTCAATTAAAGCTTAACACTAAATTGGCACCAGATAAGGATCAATAGAATTCAGGAGGGTCTTTGACTGCTTATAGGAACGCTCTTAACTCTGCAACCCAGCTCTTTTACAATATATGACAGTGAGGGTGAACCTTTTTTTGCCTCAGGTGCTAAAGCTCGCATGCCCACCCCCATAATTGAATGCCCTCTGTGCCATGCCTCTGCAGATGCACACATGACACACACACAATCCGCATGCCCACCCCATCTTCTAATAGGGTGGAGATGCTATCTCCACCCTATTAGAAGAGGCGTATCATGTAAGTTACCAACACCCTTTTTCAGCCTTCCGGTAGGCCTGGTAGGTCCATTTTTCACCATCCCCAGGCTCCAGAGGCTTTCTAGGAGCCTGTGGAGGGCAAAAAACAGTCCAACATGAAACCGGAAGTACGTGAATGGACTTCTGGGCTGCCCATTCAGCTGTTTTTCTCTCTCCAGAGGGCAAAAACCAGCCCAATGCGTAAACCGGAAGTTCATTCCCAAACTTCTGGTTTGTGCATTGGGCGGTTTTTCGCCTCCCTTCAAGGAAGCCTCCAGAGGGTGAAAAATAGCCAAAAATAAAGGCTGAAAATCAGCTGGCCAGCACGCACATGCACACTGGAGCTGTCAGGACAATGCCTTGTGTGCCCTCAGAAATGGCTCCGTGTGCCATCTGTGGCATGCATGCCATAGGTTCACCATCATGGGTATATGATAATAGAAGTAGGTAGCAAATCAAATTATAAAGAAGCTAATGTTGAACTAGACCAGAGGTGTGTAACCTTAAACATTCAAAGAACCATTTGGTCCCATTTCCCACAGAAAACACAGGGAGCCACAAAACCTGGGTGGGTATTGCCTACTCAATGTTACTCACTTCCACCCA